CCTTTGCTAATTCTCCATACTCTCCCCATCAAAATTTATCAGGAAAAAAAAAAAATTATCAGGCCAAAGATCCAGGCTATTGAAATTTTCCTCTACTCAGGCTGGTGGGTAAATGGTAACATAAGAGCTACTTTCCTCCTACTTATCCCATCACCATTTTTTGGCTAATTACGAGCACTTGAGTTGGTGTTCTCCCGGCCATAAATGACATCCAGATTCCCTAGCCCGGGACTCCAAATCCTGTGCGTGTTGATGCCAAGCTATCATCACAGGTGCATCTCTTCCAGTCTCTAACCCCCACACATTATAGCTAACTTTCTATCCACACTGGACTTCTGGTTATTTCCAAATGCTATGTGTTTTCTGTCTTTCTTGCCTGTCCACACTGCTTTCTTTACCTGGAATGTCTTCTCTCAACTTGGGCACATTGAAAGTTTATGTGTCTTTCAAGGCTCTGGTCAAAAGTTATTTTCTCCATGCAGTTTACCCCAATTCCCAACTGCTTCTCTTCTCTGTAACATGTTAAGGTTCAGCACAATGTTGGTGCTATTGTTTTTAACACAGTAGAAGCTCGATAAATATTTATTTAGTGAGTGAAGACCAGGTAAAAAAGAAACCTTAATTGTTGGAAAGGCTATCTGACTTACTGACTTTTGAGAGTAGCTGCAGACAATAATGAGAGCCTCTCTAATAATGCTGCAATATCCATACACTTGAATGGACTGATCTCTTTAATTCCTATCACAGTGTGTACAGCCTATTTGGATTCCTGAAATAAGGAAGGGGTCCACCTATTGGAATAAGAGGTCAGCCTCTTAGACTTTAAAGTGCAATTCCTACAAAGTTATATGTAGGAGATATACTTATATGCAGTTATATGCAGAGATATACTTGAAACAGTACAGAGAACTTAAGAATCACCATACTTAAAAATTAAGTTTAAAGATATGTAAAACTTTCTTAACTTCTTGAAAATGTTTACTAGATGCCAAAGGAGGCACCTGTATGCAGTAAATTATAAATGTGGCATAAAGCAGAAAAAAAGTTGAAAGGTATATAATCAAGTAATAGTGCAAAGATTATTTAAAAACTCAAATTAATTTCAGAATAGTCTGTCAGTATGCAAGACTGACAGTGGCTTTTGGGCTGTTTTTCTTCCAGCTAAAGTTGGTGTTCATTAGGTGGTCAACTTAATATTTCAGCCCATAGAACTGGCCTGACTGTCCAGTTATTCTTTATTTTGCTTTGAACCTTCTTCACTTTCTAGGAAATGAGATTATAGCTTTTGAGATATTGGGATGAGAAGTAGCAGCACTAATCTACTCACCTCTTCATTTTGGTTTAGTGCCTTACTTCAATAGAGTAACTTAGCAATTCTCAACTCCTGCTGTATATTGGAATCCTGGCAAGAGCTTGGAAACCAGAATCTCTGGGGATGTGTGCAGGCATTTTGCTTTTAAGTTTCTGGATAATTGTAACTATAGGAACAGGTAAGAACCACTGTTGCAACAGCGTGAGCCTACCATGGTCTGGAGCGCCAGTGCCATCCAATAAAACTTTCTGCAAACATGGGAAGTGCTATAAACTGAATGCTTATGTCCTCCTAAAATTCATTTATTGAAATCCTAACCCCCAGTATTATGATATTTGGAGGTGGGGCCTTTGGGTGGTAATTCATGTCATAAGGGTAGAAACCTCACGAATGGGATTAGTGCCTCTGTAAAACAGACCCCAGAAAGCTCCCTCACCCCTTTTACTGTATGAGAACACAGCAAGAAGATGGCCATCTATGAACCAGGACACTATGATCCTCACTGGACGCTGAATCTGCTCACCTTGATCTTGTACTTCCAGTCTCCATAACTATAACTAATTTTTATTGCTTATAACCCACACATGCTATGGTATTGTTAGAGTAGCCTGAAGAGACCAGGAGAGAAATGTTCCATAAATCTGTTGTCCAATTTGATGGCCACTACCTAGGTGTAGCTCCTAAATTTTTTATTTTAATTCAAACTTAAATTTACAGAGCTACAGGAGGCTAGTGACTACTGTGTTGGATAGCACACTTTGGCAGGCTTAGGCCATGTAAAATTATCTGAGTTTATTATTATATAGATGCTGAATAACTCTTTTTGATCCTGGACCACACCATCCACACTTACTACTCTTGTCTCTTTGGGTTACTTCCTGCTAGCTTCTTGACAAAGCCTCTAGTGGTATGAAGGGATAACTCAAATTTTATATAGGCTCGTGGGAATGTTAAGGACATTGAATTTGTTGATGGTCTTTTACTAATTTATGCTGGCAGTTTGTTTTTTGGATTTCATACTTTTTTTTTTTAAGATTTTATTTATTTACTCACTAGATACACACACAGAGAGAGGCAGACACTGGCAGAGGGAGAAGCAGGCTTCCTGCAGGGAACCCGATGTAGGACTCCATTCCAGGACTCCAGGATCATGACCTGAGCTAAAGGCAGACACTCAACCACTGAGCTACCCAGGTGCCTAGACTTTATACTTTAATGAAAAATGAGCAAAGGCCTTCAGAACCAAAATTTCTTAAGTGTCAAAGCAGTGGAGCAATGAAATAGGTCCTCTTCGCTCCTTGGCATGTGATAGTATTTTTCAACTGGAGGTCGTGACCTTTGTCTTGGAGGTTGGAGAGTTTCCAGTGGATTGAGGCAGTGGCCTGAGTTTCATAGCTAAATATAGGTCATCGGCATGGCAGCCTCTTTCTCACTCTCATCGAAACCACACCCTATTAATGAATGTGGGGCATTAGTGGCTGGGGGGGATACAGTCTTGAGAAAAACCAGAAAAATGCCACAGATGCAGAAGTCTTTCTCAGATGTAACTTTATATTGAGCATAACTAAGTTCTAGTTTTACCTGCTTTTAAAAATAATTTGTAAATTGTAGATTGCTATTAAAAAAAAAAGGTTAAAAATACACACATATTTGATTCATTGGCTAATCAATCTGAAATGTGATATTCATGCTGAGGCATAAGAAAAATCCCCCTTCAGGTCATTGTTCAACTCTTGCCTTTTTGGTGAGGCTGTCCTGACAACCTGATTCAATATTTCAATATATTTATATTCATATATTTGCCAAATATTAAATGACATCCTCTTAAGTTTGGCATATTTCAAAATCAAAATATTTACCACTGTAGGTGCCATGTGATTCTCTAGAGCGGGGTCTCAAAGGGTGAGATATTGCTGAAGGACCATAGCACCTGGGAGCTTGCCAGAAATGCAGCTTCTCAGGTCCTGCCCCAGACCAGTTGAGCCAGGAACCCTCACTGTGGGGCCCAGCAATCTGTCATTTTAGGTGATTCTGGTGCACAATGATGTTTGAGATCCACTGATGCAGAGCGCATTGCATCTCCCAAGAATGTCCCAGAGGCGTAGACTTCCAAACAACACAAACTTAGTTAAGATCAAAACATTGTATACATAAAATTGAACTTGTAAGTTGTGAAAGAGATGCCAACATTCTATTTGGACCTAGTGTTATGAATCATGAATTCACCCAGTTCTAAGCTTCAATGAATGTCTAGTCTTTGATCTTTTTTTTCCCCTTATAAAAAAAATCAAAGTTCTAAAAGAATTTCATGAGATGTTCCTCAAAAGATAAGATGCAATACAAGTGTGGCTTCAGCAAATTCAGCACACAAAAATTCAAATATATACAACTGATAAGTTAGGGGGCCATTTACTGTTTTTTTTTTATTTTTTTATTTTTTTTTCATTTACTGTTTTTAAGAAAATATTATTAGATCTATAAAATTATTCACTAGAGGATTCATTTAAAACAGTGACATTGTATAGTGCATTTGAAATATCTCCATTTATAGAACATAAATTTTACAAATGTCTAATATGATAGTATAGAAGTGTAGGTAAGTATACAGCCTCTGATCTCAAACTTCCCAGGTTCAAACTCCAGCTTTTTCATATACTGGGCCAAAACTTACTAATCCTCAGTTACCTCATCTGTAAAATGGGTATAATAATTGTCCTATCTCTAAAGTTTGTGTGACAATTTAAGAATATGATAAAGGTAACATTTAGCTAGAAGCTGGAACATAGTAAGCTCTAACTAAATGTTTGGTTTTAGTTGTCTAGGCTGGTCTCTATGAAAACAGATATTTATGTTTTATCACTCAAGAATGTTCATGCAGGGGATCCCTGGGTGGCGCAGCGGTTTGGCGCCTGCCTTTGGCCCAGGGCGCGATCCTGGAGACCCGGGATCGAATCCCACGTCGGGCTCCCGGTGCATGGAGCCTGCTTCTCCCTCTGCCTGTGTCTCTGCCTCTCTCTCTCTCTCTCTGTGACTATCATAAATAAATAAAAAAATTAAAAAAAAAAAAAAAAAAGAATGTTCATGCAAAGCAGTTAAAGTTTATACAAAGCCAAGTAGAAGTTAACCATATTGAACACTGGATACTGAGCAGGTATTCACCCTCCCAAGAGCTCCTCCCTAGCCAAATTAATTGTGGGAATTTTAATCTCCTTGTCCATGACTGGGTAAGGTATGAGCATGTCCCACAGACCTAGTCAATGAACTGTAAGAAGCAATGTGCTGTAGGTCACTGGAAAAGAATTTCTTCCCTTAAGGTATGCATTAAGAGAAACTCTCTTCCCTTTGGAAATTGTAGTATCAGGCTATGACACTTGGAGCTGCTGCAGCTATATTGTGACTATGAGGAAAGACATTGCTGAGGTTTCAATGTAAAAGAATGGAACTTGCTAAGGAACTTGGTAACACTGTTGGACTCCTGAACCAAACATAGAACTGGCTTGCTTTTGGTTACTGATTTAACTGAAATAATAAATGTCCATATTTTTTATGTCACTATCCGTAATGTTCCATGCTAGTTCAAAAGCAAACTAAATGACATTAATACATCTATAGCTAGTATGAATTAATTGGCTCTTTGACAAAATAATTTGGTGACTTTATTCTTGATGTCTTCTTAAATCACATATAGAGAATCCTTAATGAAGAGATCCGTCTCCAGATCATCTGCATATAACAGCAGTCCTACTTTCCTGCTCCATATGTGACATGCTTAACTATAAACTATTAGCTAAATGTGTAAGTATGTTATCTTTGTAAATTAAAATGTTTTAATTTTTAAAATTCTGTTATATCTATCACTAAAAATATTAAAGATTTTAAAATAAAAGTAAATATTTTAATTTTGATACAATCCTTTAACATTGTAATGTATTTCCCTGCTTCATTTATATTCACATTGACATTTTTTTCATGACAATGTGAATAAAATGTACAAAATGAAGCTCTACCATATTCAAGTTTTCATTAAATAGATTTTACAAGGACACACCCCCAAATTCCTACTACCAGAGTGATCTCCATTTTCTCTTCACATGCAAATAGGTTTATTTCTCACTTTGCAACAGAAATTTGAATTAGTTAACTATTTACACAGCATTTATTTGGGCTATCTCTAAAATCTGAGGGCTATTTTCCCTATTCATGTGTGAATATATCTGGTGCCCAAATAAGGGTGCTTCAATAGAAGAACACTTGTTAAATCATATGATTGTCATATGATTATATTTAAATTTATTACTATTAATATTTTCTCCAGAAGTCTCCATTGGCCTTTATTTCCAAATGGGAACCCCCATATCTAACACCTTAGATTAGAACTTTGAATCTTCTTGGGACTATAAACTCCATGAAATCAGGGATGCTTACCTCTTCTTAATATTATACCCCAGCATCTTAGCATAGTAGCAAATAATAGCTAGGAAAATCTAGAATAAATAATTCTCCAAATAAAAATAAATGTTGAAAAAATCAAGTATAAAGTCCAACCCTTTCATCTTTTTCATAAAGAGATAATTTCTTTGCTTTACTTTCTCTTTAGACTCTACATTTAAGAATCTTTTTTTTGGGGGGGGGGGGGATTCCTGGGTGGCTCAGCAGTTTGGGGCCTGCCTTTGGCCCAGGGCACAATCCTGGAGTCCCAGGATCGAGTCCCACATCGGGCTCCGGGCATGGAGCCTGCTTCTCCTTCTGCCTGTGTCTCTGCCTCTCTCTCTCTCTCTCTCTCTCTCTCTCTCTCTATCATAAATAAATAAATAAATCTTTTTTAAAAAAGGAATCTTTTTGGAAATATATTTTTAAAAAGTTATATTGCAAATACCCATTTTGTCTATTACTTTCCCCCTTCTCTTTCCTTGCACAACCATGCTGAGGACAGTAGTGAATCTGTATGGTCTTGTGGGAAGTAATGATATGTCCAAAAAACAGCAGGGGTAAATATGCACAAGAAGTGGGTAGAACTGGAAATGTAAAATTTCAGGTCTGTATTGAACTTGGTTTTCTGAGGACAAAATTTTTAGATATTTTTCCTTCTTCTAAAGAAGTTCATTCCAAGGTATATTGGATTGGTCCTGGCTAATATTTTTAGCATTTATATTAGGTCATCTTAATATCTCTTCCCTTTGTTATCTCATCTTTCCTAATACATTTGGCTAACCTGAAAATTTCCTCAATTTTTAGCAATACTAATGAGTACAAATAAATAAATAAGGAAATTGTATTGGTTTATTACATTAAGTCTTAATAAAATTTAAAGCTTTTTTCTGTTATTGACCAAACTCCATAATTTCAAGTTATTTTTTGAGGTTTATTGTTTAGAATTTGATTTACAGACTTTCCATGTCATTGGCATCATTTATTTATTTTTTCTGCAACCTGTTTTTGGCTATTTCACTACTCAATGACCCCTCCCTTTCACCAAAGGGATGGGCAGGGTAAAAAAATATGGTATGATATTTTAATGTAGTCAATTTTACTACTTGCTACTATCTCTGATAAAATGGTGTGCAAGAAAGAAATTGTTAACTAAAATGACATTTCAGGATTTTTTAAAAATAATTTTTTATTGTTCACGATCCAGCAACTGTTACTATGGAAAACTGAGTTCTCTCTAGACTACACTTAATAAATAAAGATTTTTTTTCATGATAAAAACATAGTTTATAATAATTCTAATCTAAATCACACCAAACTCATGAGTAAATGCTCACAAAAATATTGTCAGTTAAAAAAAGAATTAATGTCCAAAGAATCCAGAGCTAAAATGAAGCACAAGGTGGATTTAAAAATGGAGAATAATATAAAATAATAAATTGTTTTTGCCTTGTAGTCTAAACCTCCTTACCTACATAGTCATGTAAGAGTCACATATAAAATAATACCTTTAATATAAATATATATGGATGATTTTAAAAAGTGAAGATTTAACTATAATGGTTACTTCATAATCAATGATGTAATAGTCAATGATGTAGGAGAACAAAGAGCATTGCATAGCTACATATGGACTTCATAGCATCAGTTTGTTTATAAAAGGGGGGCTACAATATATAAATATTTTTAGTTTTTGCAGATTAAAATATATCAGCAGCTGAATAGCAGAATATTTTAGCAACAAACATAGTGGGAAGTTTATTTTATTCAGTAGATCAACTTCAGAGAACTAAACTCTCCAGAATAACCAGAGGGTTAGATAGTATATTTACACCTGCTGTATTTCATTCTATAAATAATCTATAATGTCAAAACTAGTCTTGATGGGGGCACTTAAATTTTATAAAGGGATAAAATGTTACAGTGGACATTTTCAAATTTTTATAGTATAGTATAAACAAAATATGGACATGATACATAATTATTTTTGAAGTTCAAGGAAAGAGTCCTATACAAATAAATTATATGGACACAAAAATGAGAAATACTAATCTTAGTCATTTTCACACATTCTTTTACTTCAGAATTTTAAATGATTAGTGAAGTAAACTTTACCTATTTCAAAGTGAATAAAAACAATAACTCCAGAAATTTCACTCTCTCCAGAATTTATTCAATCATATGGTAAGGTGGTCTTGAATAGTATTTTGGTTGTTTTTATTTTATTTGGCAAAATAATCTGTCTTTAGGCATGATTACAGATTCCTTCCACTTTCTTTTTGAAAGAAGGCTATACCTACTACCTTCATAAACAACTAAAATGTTCACAGGGATGGGTATAACCTATGTCATATTGTAATATACATTTTGTTCTTGGGAGGCTTTGGGCCTAAACCCCATATTCTCTAATCAGATAACTCTCAAGAAGAACAAAGATGAAAAACATTTACCTGCATTTAGACACATGAATACCAATATTTTTAAAGTTAGAAGCAGTTGTGTACATATTCTCAAAAGATTATCTTATTCTAGAATACTTACTCTTTTCAAAACAAGGATATACATAAATTCAATTGGAAGTATCATTTCAAAATAAATAATAATGTAGGCATTATTCCACGTCAAACTACTAGAAAATTCCCAGGAGAAACTTAGAATAGTTATTTAAGAAATCCCTAGGTTCAATACGAAATTCAACTTTTACAGTGTTGAGTGAACTAAAACTCAAACGTTTTGTTACATTGAAAAGACATTAACACGTATAGTGTTGTAATATAAAGAAAATGCAAAATATTACCGAGAAAAGAGAAGGTAAGCCAACAGCTTATTATTGAAAAATTCTGATCTAGCGATAATCAGATCAGATAAAACTGCAAACTGCATGCCTGTCCCTGATGCTCCCTGGACGGGTTGTGACGACATGTCTGCTTTCAACCCACAGTTCACAGTTCACAACAAACATTTAAATAATACAACTGAATAATTGATTCCTCAGACCAAATTGAACTTTCTTTAAGGAAATAAAGGGATAAGATAATAGATCCAATCTTACCCCACCTCTTTTTTTTTTCCTCCTTTTTTCTTTTAGTGAAACTGACATAAATTGTTGAGGAGCACTACAGCGCCACCAACACAGATCAATGCAAAACAAAAAAGATCTCCTACCGTGTGCAAAAAAGAAAAAAAAATTAGAAAAATGCCAAAAATTACAAAATGTCTCCCAAATGTACCTTTTTGGAGAAAAACACGGTAGATCTGCAAAGATTATCTAATGAAGAGCTTCAAAGAATTAATGTGATGGAATACAAGTTTAGATCTGATCAGCAAATAAAAGATCCACTATTTAGTAACAGCCATAACTTAATATAAACCCGGTTATGTCAATCTCCACCTTCATCATACCAAGGGCAGCTTTTCTGTAGTTTGTATCCAAGTAATCCATCAAGAAAACCACAATAGGCCTATTTAAAAAGAAAAAAAGAGAGAAGAAACAAAACTATATCCACAGTTTGTCTGCTGATAATTTAGTCCTGGACAAATTAGGTAATACATAATTTTTATAAAGAGGATATGCACATATTTGGCATTACCAACACTGCTGGCACAAAACAAGTCCATCTTGAAATAGCTGAGTTCCCCTGTAGTTCACAGTAATCAAAGTATAATTCATTTCACAAATATTTAGCTTTCAGGATGATGAAAAAAAAAAAAACCCACAACTGTGGGGTTTTTTTTAGTACATTTTAGTAAAAAATGTACCAGCCAAGATTAGGTGGAATACGCAGAGAGATCAAAGCTAAAGAAAAAGAAAAAAATACAAAGATTGGTTCTGTTAGAAGAAACACAATGAAAATCCTCTTTACCCGGTGGCTCCTTCAAAGATGTAACGACATAAACGTTTAAAATCACAAACTTACCATTCGTGCAGGCAAAGAAGAAGGCAGTTGTTGAAAAATAACTGCAACAATATAGGCTGGATACTCGAGCCCCCAGAAACAGCAGCCTCCCGGCAGCGTACGGGCCTTCAAACATCCTTAAAATATTTGGCAAATAGAAAGTAAGACTTTGTCCCATGGTCGCGGGCGGGCTGGGGTGGCCTCCCCGGGCTCCGCGGGCGTCGGAGGGCGTCGGAGGCCGCGGCAGGCACCGCGGCGGAGAGCGGGGAGCGGGGAGCGCGGGGCGCGGAGCGGGGAGCGCGGAGCGGGGAGCGCGGAGCGGGGAGCGCGGAGCGGGGAGCGGGGAGCGGGGAGCGGGGAGCGGGGAGCGCGGAGCAGGCAGCGGCCGCCGCAGCCGCCGGGGTTAACAAGTTTGCGCCGCGGGCAGGCGCGCCCCGATTGGCTGCGAGCGCGGCGTCCGCGCAGCCTGCGCCTCCCCGCGCCCCCGCCTCCCGCGGCTCGGAAAAAATGCGGTGTGTGTGCCATTTTACACTGGGCTTTTAAAAGCACAGCCACCCCGATGGCAAAGTCTAAGCCCGCTACGAAGTGACGCTGCAAAACAATAGCGCCCGCGCCTGCCCCGAGCTCCCGAGAAGGCCCCTTCGCGCCCGGAGGCGCGCTCCTCCCCGAGCCGCGGCTCCGCCGAATACAAGGCTTTTTCTGATGCGGATTGCCTCTCGGCTCGTCCGTCTGTAATTCGGGTCCAAACACGGCCATTGAAAGACTATAGTCACTGAGAAACCATGGCCCTCGACAGGTGTTTGCTTTGGCACCGTTGGGGACCCGAGAAGGCGGCCCTCCGCGAACAGAATTCACGACTCCCGCAGCTCGGACAGCCTCCATTCCTTGCAGAAATAGAATTCCCGAGCAGCGATAAGTACCGTTTTGTGCAAAGGATGAAAACGAAATGACTTCAGTGGTCACATTTAAGACAATAGGCATAACCCCCCACACACCCCACCCCGCCCCACCCCGCCCCACCCCGCCCCACCCCGCCTTAAAAATTCTATTTCAAAAACCCTTCCAGGCTGACACAGTCCTACCACTCGCTCTGCCTTACAAACAAAATGGCTGTGGAGCTGAGTTTTTTTGGATCCTCCCACTCTGCCTCCTCCTGGCCTCCAGGAAGTGGTAAAAATCCAAAATAAATACAGTACTAAAAGTACATTGTCCAGTCTGAACTCAGGGTGGGATTTCTGGGAAGGGGGAGGGTGTCTTAGAAACGTGCTGCTTTTATGAGTTTTTCTTTTTTAATTGTTTTGAAAAGAACACCAGTCACCAGAGATTTACCTGACTGTAATTTGAACTTCCTGCTTTACATACGTATAAGGTCTTTCGACTGGGCTTTTAAATGAGAACGAAGTCTGAGACTTAAAAAAAAAAAAAAAAGTGTATCCAATGGAATATTCCTCAGCCATTAGAAATCACAAATACTCACCATTTGCTTCAACGTGGATGGAACTGGAGGGTATTATGCTGAGTGAAGTAAGTCAGTCGGAGAAGGACAAACAGTGTATGTTCTCATTCATTTGGGGAATATGAATAATAGTGAAAGGGAATAGAAGGGAAGGGAGAAGAAATGTGTGGGAAATATCAGAAAGGGAGACAGAACATGAAGACTCCTAACTCTGGGAAACGAACTAGGGGTGGTGGAAGGGGAGGAGGGCGGGGGGTGGGGGTGACTGGGTGACAGGCACTGAGGGGGGCACTTGACGGGATGAGCACTGGGTGTTATTCTGTATGTTGGCAAATTGAACACCAATAAAAATTAAATTTATTATTTAAAAAAATGTGACACTAAATGCGACACAGTGATTGCAAACGTAAAGTCGAAATGGCAGCAAATATCGAAATGTGTCGAATACAGCATATGTGCATTAATTGAGCACACTCAGGATACAATTCTTTGCCAGCTCAATTTCTAATGAGCCAAGGATAGAACCAGGTTTGAAGGGGCTGGAGGAAGACAGAGGTGGGGATTGGACTGCCTACGTTCTTCACCATCCCTCTCTCCAGACACACACACTGTTGGTATCGCATCCCCATCCCTGCCTGGCGTTTAATAGTTAACATTCATAAGGAGCCATGGTTAGGGTGACTGCATTTGCCGTCTTAACCAGGACACTTGAGAGTGAAAGGGAACGTATTTTTAATTATATGATGACCGGAATAAACAGGGACTCTCCACCACAAACCAGGGGGTAGAGCTCACTATGCATTCGGAGACACCTACTTTAACTTTTGCCAGACAGGGCACCTACAGCCGAGGTCCTAGGCCCATTTAGATAGAACCTGAGCTAGACCCCCTCTCTGGGCTATGTCTACCGTCCCTGCTCTAGGATCAACTGAAGTAAATGATGAAAGACTTGGATTCAGATATATTTAATGAACAGCTGCGTTAAAGTGGATGTCTAAATACCTGGGTTCTTTTGTAAATCAATAAAGATAAGAATAAAATTCATTGATATTTATTTCATTATAATCAAAAAATATCCTTAAAGAGTCATCTAATAAAGAGAGAAGACTACAATTCTTGAGTGATTTTTAAGCAGTTTTCCTTCCAGTAGAAAAAAACTTGTTAGAAGCCATTTTCACTATGTCCTTTTGTCTTTCCACCACCCTAGCCTTGTTCTTTTCTTTCCCATCCCTTCCACCACTGATACGTGCATGCACATCGATATATGTACACATACATACATGCAATTATACATTCATAATTATACATATACATCTGTATATACATATATGGATGCGCATGCAATGTATACTTTATTATCTATAGATTAGAATCTTCTGTGCACATTTCACAATGTGCATATTTCTAATTATATGATTTTTTTTAAAGATTTTATTTGTTTATTCATGAGAGATACACAGAGAGAGGCAAAGACATAGGCAGAGGGAGAAGCAGGCTCCAAGCAGGGAGCCCGATGCCGGACTTGATCCTGGGACTCCAGGATCACGCCCTGGGCCAAAGGCAGGCGCCAAACTGCTTAGCCACCAGGCGTCCCTTATATTCTTTCTTATGGGAGAATTTTCTTTTTTTAATTTATTTTTTATTGGTTATTGGTGTTCAATTTGCCCACATATAGAATAACACCCAGTGCTCAACTCATCAAGTGCCCCCCTCAGTGCCCATCACCCAGTCACCCCCACCCCCCGCCCACCTCCCTTTCTACCACCATTGTACGTTTCCCAGAGTTAGGAGTCATGGGAGAATTTTCTTCGGAGTTTTTGAGCCAATATTCATGATATACAAGTTCTGAACACCTTTTTTTTTTTTTGGTTAAGGTAAAATGTAGAGTGAGATGTCTTGGAAAAATTATCACTGAAAGACATAGGATAAATAATTCTCATGTTGTTTATTCGAATAGTTCTTGAGAATTTAGAATGCGCCAGGCATGATGCTTTGAGCTACACTTATATTCATGAACAAGAGTTTTTCATCTCCTTCAAGGAGTTCATAGTCTAGTGGGGAGTCTAGTTAATGTACATCAAATGCATTAATGTCATTACATTTCTTTAGTTGTTTGGCCTTAAACAAATTCTTTTAATTTTACCCTTTAATATTTTTCCTGTATTTTCAGGAGAAACAGCAAGCAAACAAATATAAAATTGTAAAATTACAAGTGCTATTAAAGAAATGAACAGTGAAGTCTTAGTAAAAAATAGGGAGGGAAACACATAGATAAGTTTGTAAGGAAAGTTGTTTCTAAGCAGGTGCCGTTGAAGCTAGATTTAATGGATAAGAAGGAGCCAAACTTGAAAAATATGTGAGAAATAGCAGAGCAGAAGGAGGTTACAACATGTGCTAATGTCCTGAGGCAGAATGGATCTTGAAGTATTCCAGGAAGTAAAATGAGGCCAGTGTGGGTGCAGCATATTAGAAGAGGAGAAAATGACATCAGGTGAGTTCAGAAAGGAAATGATACCCTGCAGAGGCTTGTAAGCTACAGACAGGGGTTCCTCTGTATCTAAGCAAGTGAATTATATTCAAAGAGTAGAATGTTGGAATTCGAGATTTGGGGGGTTTTAGTGATGATAAGATCCAGAGAAGTTTTGGTGAAGTAGAGAAAAAAAAGCAAAACTCCGTGCAACTTGTGAATTTACATAGCTGGATCACATTGTCTTGCTATTAGATTTTAAAAATCTACGTTTCATCGCATCATTGTAGCCATTGATTATAACTTAGCTCATCTATGATCATATCTATGATCATACATATTACTAGTAAAATGAAAAGAAAGAATTCAGGCAACCATTTGCCTCATTCTCCGCTTCTTTTTTTCAAGGGCTGACTTTGGTAATTTTTATTCCAAAAACCTTGTATTTCATATCAGTTTAACAAAGCTCAAGTAACACTTTTTAAAAAAAAATAAATAAATGAGCCAATGCATTATTAAAGCTAGAATTTAACTAATACAACTGGAATCAAAACAGTTATCCTTTTTGAATTTACTCTTTGTCAGCAAAGCAAAATGCTATGTATACGTGGACAGAAATAATGTGTTCAATTTCTTAGATTCTAAGACTTAGAAAAATTTTGAAAGCAATGACGGGTGATTCCTTTAATGAGCTTTGGGAATGATAGGAATCTCTAAACAAATCAAGCTGTGAACCACTTAGGTAATGCAGTTTTTCAGACCTTTACCTCCCAGAATGGTGCGGTGAAGGAAGCTGTTTCAGAATTCGGAGTTTTAAAATACAGAGTCCCCCTTACCCACAGTTTCAAGTACATAGCCCTACCCTCTGTCAGGAACCAGATGATCCTCCTTCTGACAAATCATCAGGTCACTAGTTTCCTGATGCTACGTCATGATGCCTGTATCATTCACCTTATTTCATCCATAACGTAGCATTTTATCAGCTCACATCATCACAACAAGAAGAGTGAGTATAGTACAATGAGATGTTTTGAAAGAGAGACCACATTCACATAACTTTTATTATAGTATATTGTTATAATTGTCCTATTTCATTACTAGTTATTGTTGATCTCTTACTGTGTTTAGTTTACGAATTAAATTTTGTCAAAGGTATGTATGTGTAGGAAAAAACATAGTATATGGATGGCTGGTACTGTGTGAGGTTTTAGGCATCCACTAGGGATCTTGGAAGATACCCTCTGCCGATAAAGGGGGACTTCTGTAATTTTAAAGTAGTCATATGATGCAGCACCCCTTAACCAAATATAATAACAAAATATATGACTGATCATGCTAAATGAGGTAAAGAAAGACTCTAAATAGCCCCATGTCAATTCAGGTCAGTTTTGTCACCCAATAGTACAACTAGCAAAAAAGTTTTCGGTTTTCAAATTTTGGGAACTCAAAATTGTAGATAAGAGATGGTGCAACTGTACACTCTAGGCCCGTTCAGTGTGTTTAAAAAAAAAAATTCCTAGTTTAAATCAAAGCTCATAATCCCAATAATCATGAACAGAGTTACAATTTGGAAATGGCCAAACTGCCAGTTTTGGTCCCTAATGAATTAACGTACATCAAATGCATTAATGTCATTACTTTTCTTTAGTTGTTTGTGTGATCTTAAACAAATTATTTTAATTTTACCCTTAAATATTTTTCCTGTATTTTCCTTCTTCAGAATAGAGAAAAGTTATGTTATTTTGGGAAACATATTTTGAAGCAGTACCTTACTAGAGTTTTTATTTTCCAAATGTTTTAATATTATATCTGTAGCAGAGATTATAGGAATGCTTGTTTCAGAACACATTACCCATTGTGGGACAATTTCAGATTGCATTTATCCATTACAAGCAAAGTGGCATTTTCAAGAAGGGTCATTCATTGGAGCAATTTGTGGCTGTTGGTATGGCCGAGACCACTGGGTAACCAATATCCATCCTCTTTTTTTTTTCTTATTCATAAAATCCAATTTTATTTTGGGTTTGCCACCCAAAACTATTTGGCACACAGTTT